GATGCCAACCACCATAGTCCATGGCCTAAGTGTCGATTCGAATTGAAACTAGCCACTGTCGCCAAGAGCCAACATGTGTTCATTGTGCTTATTGCGAAGCCAGTCACCGTCATCGACGGCCGACGCACTTTCTTCTTCTTCCTCATCTCGCCGTTTTTGGGATTTGGGTGATGGAGATGGAATTAGCAATAGATCGGATGATGGCGAGTGTTAATCTGAGACGACATAAGTGGAGTTGCCTGAAGAATTGACGGCAAATATGCCCTCTTCGATTGTGGATCTGCGACGGAGAGACGAAGGATGGATCTTTGAACAAACCTCCACCAGCGAAAGTCAAGCCAACGAAGAAGAAGAAGGTTTGGTTTCTCTCTCTTTTGTGTACATCGATCTATTTTCAATTTAGTTTCTCTTTCTTTGTGTCTTGTTGTACAAATGGAGAAGAAACTCTTCCATTTGATTTTTTTGATGAAAATGGAATCAACATAAATTATGAAAGACAAAGTCTGTTTTGAACAACACATAATACAAAAGATAACCACTTAATTAGTAAAGGACGAACAGTACGGAATAGTTCTCTCTGGCACGGGACTCGAGGCACTCAATCTTCAACCGAGCCATGGAAGCTCGCCGTCGTGCCTGAGCCTCTTCTCCGACGACATAAGGCTTCTCTGGCAGTGTGCGATTGCGAGATGACGTCTCACCTTACGGTCCGAGCACTCTCCTTCTCCTCGGGCGGTAACCCGCGGGTTGATCGAAGTGAAGCCCACGACTTTTGGGTGAAGCAAGTCTCGTCGATGGCCAAGCCCCCGCCACCGTCTGAGCCTCCGGATCCGCCGGACCCTCCGTGGTGTGGCCTAGATTCCTCTTCTATGCTAATGTGGTCGCATCGTTGATGTCTCCCCCTTGCTCACCTCGCCAATTCACAAGTCGTTGGCTTCATCTTCTGCTCCTTCGATGGCGAGACCCAATCCCCGCAAAGATCCCAACCCGTCCCCGCTTGCGCATCCCTTACCGGGACAGTAGCTCCGGAGCGCGGCCATGGCTCTCCTCCGATCCTCTGCTATCATCACCCCTCTCGCTTCACCCTCACCGTTACCGAGCCTCCATCATTGTCCACGGATCCAATTCCCACTTTGTCGACGACGAGATATTGTGGTACAGAAGCGCCGCCTCCACCTCGCGATCTCACCTTCCAACTGTATCACCGTCGGCTCTCACCGGAATCTCCCCCGAATCTGAACGTCACCAGATTGGGTTGGAGCTCGGCTTGGATTCAACGGCTCACCACCTCATTTGTCGGATTCCGCAACATCTACACCCTAACCCGACCTGTTGGTCACCACCGATCTCCTTTGGCGGCCGCCGGAACTATAATCGCCGGCAAGGACTCACTGCAAAAATTCGTGGTCAACAACGACACTTCCGTTGACTGGATTTGTTTGTTGATGGCCTTTGGCTGTTAATGGGCCGAATCCGAATCAGGCCAATCATTATGTATAATGGGGTGAGACTGATTCTGGATATTTGTGAGGTTCTAAGGGGCTTTTCTAAGCCCAAATTGCTGAGACCCAACTTGGAGATGGTTCTCTATTATCTTTGTCCATCTTTAAAGTTTTCTGGATTCTCAAATCCTGCAAGTTACTCCCGGTGGAAGAAATTAGTTTCACCTTTTACCATCTTTTTAAGAGTGGTTGTATCTTTCCTCTCTTTGAGAATGGTCGAACTCCCGAGCTTTTTGCCGGGACCTTCAAAGTCACAGTCAAACATGACTACCCGAGACTCTCCGGCCTTGCTGCGAAGTCCTTCTGGACGCATCCGAGGCATACCTTGGATCCGCTGTCCTGCATCTTCTGCGATGATCTATCTGTTCTAAGTTTTATTGCATTTCAATTATGTTTTAGTAATGATAGAGGATGCTTAATTCCCTCCCTTTGTATTTTGATCGGTTAAATGAATGAAGTGATAAAAAAAAAAGTCTGAACCTTAATCACGTGCATCTATCATTTTTTTCAAACATCATTGTTTTTCAATTGATTAGATTATTCCTTGAAAACCTGAGGGTTTTATGAAACTTCTCTGCATTTGTTTTGATTTAGCTATTCATGTTCTGTTTTCTTAGCTAATATGTTAATTCCTATACGAACACAATAGCTTGTTCTTGATTGTTTCTATTTGAACACAATAGCTTGTTTTTTTATTGTTTCTATTCAAACACAATATATTGTTTGTTCTTATTGACCACGATAGCTTGTCCATTCCTATTTGAATACAATGCTTGTCCATTATATCATAGAGTGATATGGACGAAAGCTTTGTTCTTGATTTCTTTGTTTTTTGGTGTGCTAAAACGTGGCCGAAATCTTGTTCTTGATTTCCTTGTTTTTTTTGTGCTAAAACGTGAAATTGTGTAATATGTGTCTACACTATGCTAACAATCGATATGTTATTGTTTTTTGTTTGTCCATGAGCTAACTCAGTGCACACAAGAAAAATCTGTACAAGTTGCTACGATAAGAGAGACCACACGTGGATAGTGGAATAAACTTTCTGAAACTTGTTTTGCTTGTCCATATGGACTATACAAAATGGTCATGGTTTTGGAGTTACAGATGGTTTATGATCTTTTTGTACAGTGAGCTGGAATAAAAGAAATTAATTTTTGATGTTTTCAATCTCTTTACATGTGTCTATTGAAGTTTTAGTATAACAAAAGTCCTTTCACATTCTCTTTAAATTTGTGATCAAAGTTTAATGTCAACAAAAGTCCTTTCATATGATTCGATGTCTTGATGTTTGAAATATATATCCCAAGAAGTACCGTCCATTCTATCGTATCCACACAAATACCATCCATTCTAACGTATCCACAAAATACCATCCATCCCACTTCATGTACGCGAGTCTATAATATCGTTGCTTATTTATCCACACAAAAATATGGTCATGTTTAGTTTTATATATGACCATTGAACCTTAACCATGTGATATTAACCATGTGTATTACACACAAATAATTTCTTTATGACCATTGAACTTTGACCATGTGGATATCATCATTGCAAATAAGCTAACAACAATGGGCCTTCTCCATGAAACAAAGAACCAAAAAAAACTAAATCGATATAAAAGTAAAACATTAATTTTTTAAAAAATTGTCCATCATCCATTATTCTCACACAAATACCAAATAGAGAACTGTGATTAGGCAAAACCAAACTCTAAAACCACACGTATTAGCTTGACCAATTGAACTAACAACTGAGTGTAATTTGTTCATCATCATACAATGTGTGTTTTAAGACCATCCACATCATATCATATGTTCCTAACTATCCACACTATATCATCCATACATGCCCATCCACACCAATATACGACAATCCACATCATGGTTTTGTAACCAGATTTTTCATGTAATCCGGTGATGTTAGACACGGCGGTGGAAAGAGAACTAGAGAAGGAGGGGTTAAAACTTCCGGAGCTATGATATGCGATGTAAGGGATTTTTTTTTTTTTATGATTTTGGTATGAGAAAATCGAGCTTGGAATCTGGAGCGGCGGAGCTAAATTCGACTTCTCCTCTTTTACGATTGGGTGGTGTGGTTGAAAGAGTATATAAATCAACTTTTTTTTTTTTTTGGTGTGACATTTAAAATGTATATTAATTCATGTGTTTATCTATGTTTTAAATCAACTTTTAACAGATGGAGACGTCCTAGATTGCGTCGACAGAAACAAGCAGGTAGCATTTTCAGCATCCTCGCTTAAAGAAGGAACAATTGCAAAAATGATATTTTTGCTGTGTCATTTTGCAAAAATTGCTATTAATTATGGATTTTTAAAGTTTTAATCTTAAAAATTCTAAACTCTAAAAAATATTTTGACCCCTAACAATCCTTTAACTCTCAAAGTTAAACCTTAATACAACATAGTTAACCCAAATTTAAATGATATAATGAATAAATAATTTTTAAAAACGTAGAATTTTTGCAAAATTTTTGAAAATATAGTATTTTTGAAAAATAGCATTTCAAAAGTGGCATTTCTCAAAATTTTTCATATATATAAGAAAACGACACCATATTTTGTTATTTAAGATTATGTATCTTTTTATCAATTTTTTGCTGTCATTTTATATTAATTATTGTAACTATATCAAAATGATTGTATATACTTAAATACCTCGTGTTGGGGAGTACAAGTAATATTATCACCGGTGCTGGGGTTTGTCCGATTATCCAAAGTGGCTCTGTTCTGTCGAATCGGCATTTTTCCGGGACAGTTGGCAGTAGCAATGTATGCTTCCGAGGTGTGTCAAACCGTCAATCGCTTTTCTTTTGCGTCTCGATGGTAATTCCTATATTTTGTTTAAACAAATTTTTTTATTATTATATATAGGTTTCTTAAAAAATATTATTAACATTTAATATAATGATTATCAAACGAAAACATGTATAAGTAACTAAATTTTTATAGATAACATATTATACAAAACCTGAAGTTTGTGGTATTTTAAAAGACTATTGTCAAATGCTGGCTGCTTATACTTGTGGAGATGTTACATTCAACAACATTTCCATCCGAACTCTGCTAAAGATAACAACCATTTAAAAATCAATAAATTTAGAAACATGTTAGCTAATTTGGTTAGAATTGATATGTATTAATATATTTTTTTTTATAAATAATTTTATATATTTGTGGAGTTCTAGTTACATGGAATATTTCATTTTTTAACATCAGAATTTTTCTACCATCGAATGCGATGCTTGTGGAAGCTAAAGGAGATATAGTTGAATGCGTGCTAATGAAAAAAGTCATTCCAAGAATCTACTTCATAACTTAAATATAAAAAAAATGCGCTTTAAAAATTTAGAATTTGAGTTT